ATTTAAATTTAAATAATATTTTAATAAAATATTGTATAAAAAGATAATATATTTATTTGGAGTAAAATTACATTAATAGGGCAAGAGATCCTCTGTTTAAAACTTACCTAGTTTAATCAGTTTAACCAATTATTTTATAACCTTTGTTGTTGACTTTTTAATATTTTTTTAAAATAAAAAAATAATTAACTTAATTAAAATTATAATTTACTCCTCCAATATTTTATTTATTTCTTTCCATTTTTACTAAATACTCCCACCCAATTTACTTTTTCTCTTTTTCAGCCCTAATTTTCTGGTAAAGAAAATACTCCGGTGAAGAGAAGAAGAAGAGGGAGAGGAGAGATGACGGAGGCTTCGGTGGAGTAGATCCCGATGGCTAGTGTCGCGGTCGACAACGGGTAGGAAAAAGGCTCAAGGACGGGCGGTGGCTTTGGCAGTGGCGCAGGGCGTCGTCGGGGGTGAATCAATGATCAATGAAGGGGAAAGAGAATAAGAGAGAGTTGGAAGAATTAATAATCTGCCAAATGATTACCACAAAAAACTACAACACACTATTTAAACAAATCTCAATATATCGACACAATGACCAAAATGCATAAAAATATATATATATATATATATACCGAAACAGAGAAAAACTGCGTAGTCGGAAAGGGCACGTTTTGGGCTGCGAAGTCGGAAGGAAGTGTATTAGATTAAACCCCATAAAAAAATAATAATAAAAAATAAGAGAAAAAATTTAATAAACATAAAATTCTAACTTACGAAACGCGTTGGTGGCGTCTTCAATGAAGGCATTCGGTGGCCGTCGGCATCACAAGAAAATTAGGATTAGAGTGTCGATTACAGGAGAGAAATTTGGGTGAAAGTGTTTACAAATGAAAGGACAAATAAAAGATTGGAGGGTAAAATTATAATTTTAGTTAAATTAATTTTTTTTTATTTTAAAAAGTATTAAAAAATTAGCACCGATGTTATAAAATAATTGATTAAACTGATTAAATTGGATAAATTTTAAATCGACGATCTCTTGCCCATTAGTAGTTAGTTTTATTTGAAATAAACAACTAACAAACAGACCACTTTTGACCAAAAAGAAAAAAAGTGACAATTAATTATAAATGAAGATGTTTGTTGATTTAATTTAATTTAATTTGTGGCAGTGATTGTTTGTTGGACTTGACCATTTTTTTTTATCTAATTTGGACTCTCATTCTAAAATCAAAATTCCATTTTTCTAACTTTAATTATTTTGTTTAAATTTAATTGTTTGACAAAAATAAAAAATAGAAAAATAAATACTCGAACAGAATCTGACAAGGGAGCAATTAAATAAAGATTTGTTGGTAAGAATATAATATTTAGACTATCTATATGTAAATATGTCATTTAAGGGGTTAGATTATAATTCATATAAAAGAGGTTGAATTTAATAAGTTTTAATTGAAAATATTTTTTTTTTTATTATTTTCGTATATTACATTTTAAAATATATATATATTTTTATTTTAGAAAAAGTAATAATACATCAGTACTAAAGTATTCTTAAGTTTTTACTTAAATTACAAATATTAAATTACACATACAATTACTTTATACACAAAGTCAAATGATAAAGATGTAAAAAATTCTTACACATTTTCACTAACTAATAAAATACTACTCCCTCCGTCCCAAAACTATCGTCTGGGTTGTGTTGATACAGGATTTAAGGAATATTGATATTATATTGGTAGTGGGTAAAAAGTACGGGTAAAAGACTTGTTTGCCCTTGTGAGTGTATTAGTGTAAAAAGTAGTGACAATTGTGTAATTATAAAGAAAAAAGTAATGGTAGTTTTATAGTGATATGATTATTTATAAAAATAAGACTATGATTTTGGGACGGACAAAAATAATAAATAGGACTATTATATTGGGATGGAGATGGTATTATTTTTTAATTTACTACAAAATCCCAAAAGACCCTTTCATTTAAGACGGAAGAAGTATAAATAATGTGATGTATTAACATCCTGTGCTTTTCGGGAATTCATCGTCCGCTATTCACCACAGTAACTATGACCTTAGGCTAAATAGAGCATGAACTGAAATATATATTGAGACGTTTACATTGTTGATTAGAGCTAATAATTACGTAAATATTTATTCTCAATACACTGACAAAATTACATTAATATATGTTAAAATGAATTATTATCATGTATTGTCAGCTTATACAATATGTTTTTTTTGTGTTAATGTACACTTAGTGCTAAGATGAAGTGTGACATGTGCCGTGTGGATTATTACAATACGTTACCAGTTTCATGCTATTTATATCTATTATGCTAATGAGTATCATAAATTAAAGTCAATCGTGATATGTGTTGTGTGAATTATTACCACTTTTGTTTGTCTTACTAAAAAATATTCATTTTTTTCTTAGTAAAAATAATTATACGTTAGTATCAAAATATTTTTAATTTTTATTTAAATTATAAACATAACATTACACGTACAATTGATTTACTTTATGCATAAATCAAAGAGCAAAAATATTAAAAACTCTTCACATACTTTCACTAAAATTTAAAAAAAAAACTTCAAATCAAAATCAAACAAACCCTTTTGTTACTTGAATGATAATTACTAACAAAATTAATTTAGGAATATGTTAGGGAAAGTAGAAGACAATTCATATAGGGCTTCATTAAAATATTGGCCCAAAATGTGGGCCCATTAGCCGGCCCACTACACAACAGCACTTTATAAATGGCTAATGACGTGATTAGTTAGTGACGCTAAAAAAATACTCCCTCCATATGTATTTTGGGCGTATTATGTATTTTGGGTGTATTACAGTAGATACAAGAATTTAAGTAAAATATAATTAGTAAGTAATTAAAAAGTATATTAAAAAAATAATTAATCCATCCGTCTCAATACAATACTCTTATTTACCATTTTTTATCCGTCCAAAAATAATAGTCTTATTTACATAAATAACTATATCATCATAAAAATATCTCTACTTTTTCATTATTATTATTACACAATTGTCACTACTTTTTACACTAATATACGCACAAGGTCAAAAAAGTTATTTATCTTTACTTTCTACCGACTACCAATATAATATTAATATTCCTTAAATCTCGTGCCCAACACAATAAGACTATACTTTTGGGACGGAGGGAGTATTATTTAGTAAAAATAATTATAGATTAAAATTAAAATAACTAAATAATTTAATTAAGATTAAGAAAAATATTAAATACTATTAAATTTAAAATTTGATTAAAGTGCATAATAAAATTTAAAAAAAAAGGATAAATTATGTGGGACGAATAAAAATAAAAAATAAAAATAAATTATGTGGAACGGGGAATAGGGATAGTAATAAATGGTTAATGACGTTGTTAGTTATGGTAATTATTTAATTAATTTTATTGGCACAAGTTGACTGTTCGAACGCAATTTGGAATTTGTTTGTTTTAAATATAAATATTTTATATAAAAATATATATTATTATTAAAGTAATAAAAGTTGCATAATAAGAAAATAGAACTATCGTGTTAAAGTTCTAGAGCAACACATCATTTTGATTTTTTGTATTAATTTTATTTATTATTTTGATATTTTAAATAAGTTATATATAAAAAATTTATATACACATGTATATTTGTGCATGGCATTTTTGCATTGATTAGAGCACAAAGCAGTTGGGTCGTGTTCTTTTGTGGATTTTAAAATAGATTTTTACTATTCAAATTCTTTTTATTTTTAAAAATATCATATTAAATAATTAAATTTTTTATATTATATTATAAATTTATTTTACATTTAAAATATCATATAAATTTCTATTTATATCATATTAAACAACTATTCAAATTCAACTTTTTACTATTAAAAAATTCAAACCCAAAAATTAAAAACTCACAAACAAACACACCCTTGAGATTTTTTTTTTCTTTTCTACCGTCTTTTTTTACTATTAATTTATAATTATTCTTTTAAAACATATGTGTTCTTTTAGCAAAAAATACACCAATATATTTTTTCAAAAAAAAAATTTAATATATCATATATATTTTTTATTTTTATATTATTCATACAATTTTTTATATGTAAATAAAAAAAATTTCTTTTCAAACCAAACCAAACATTTTTACTATTCAACACTTGGAATTATGATACATAAGCTTAAACTGCAGTTAATATTACAAAATCATATATAACAATTTATGAAGTTACACAAATACCCTTTCAAATAATAAAAAAAAAAAAAATCCAAACATTTTTATTATTCAACACTTGAGATTATGAGACAACAATTAGTATTACAAAATCATATATATAACAATATATGAAGTTACACATATACCCTTTTAAATATTTTATAATTTGCAATTTAAGCGCGCTATATTTGATTTTATAAGTTTATTTGCTGATCTGATCAAGTTAGCATAGTACATATAGTACAATATATGCTGAGATACACTAAGTATATAAATAAATATATATTTTACACATAACAAACATATATTTATAAATAGTATAAATATATTTTTTACTCGTTAAATATCAAATAAAATACTTATTTTTTTATTTTTTTTTAAATTTTCAAAAACCTTAAAAAAAAATAAAATAAAAATAAATATGTTAAGAAATTTATTTTGAAAAAAATAATAATAAAACAAACACACTCGGAGGGTGCAAAGATTCGACAACGCTCTGACACAATAAGTTGATCCAATTCAAACTATTTCAAAGTCAAACCGTCAGGGCTGACCTCCCTCCTCTCCGGGCCTTGACTTTCAAAGCCCGAATATCCTTACCCCTCACACCAAATAAATCCACACCATCCATCATCTCCACCAACGGTGCAGATCTATCCGGCCCCGAAGTCCAGGGACCTTCCAACACCACCACCACTACAGCTACTTATATAATCTCCGGCCACCACAATTTGAACACACATTCAAATCTCTCCTAAAAAAACTGCCGTCGGAATGGAATCTCCGGCGGCCGGGAAAAGGGAAGGAAAGTACAGAGGAATTCGCCGGCGGCCGTGGGGGAAGTTTGCCGCCGAAATACGCGACCCAAATCGGAACGGCGCACGTCTTTGGCTCGGCACTTACGACACGGCGGAGGAAGCCGCCAGAGCGTACGACAGGGCGGCGTTCGCGTTCCGGGGCCACCAGGCAATCCTTAATTTCCCCAACGACGGCCATTACAACGCCGATCCGCCGCCGGCGGCGGGGCCGTCGCAGTCTCCGGCGGTTAATGAATCTCCGGCGGCGGCGGCGCCGGTCATTGAATTTGAATATTTGGATAATAAGCTGCTGGAGGATCTGCTCGGAGATGAACCCCAGGGGCGGCGGCGGGAAACCTGATTTTGTAATTTAAGATAATAATATATGTAATTTTAAACATTCTTATATTTTTATTTAATTATAAAAATTAGATTAATTTTTTTTAAAATTTTTTATTTTTCTTGGTTTGAATTATATTGTAACGAATTGTATTCATTGTGATGATAAATTGATAATAATCCTACCAAACGGGTTTGTGTTTACTTTTTTAAAATGTGATTATAATAATTAGATGCTATTTAATTTCTTTTTTATAAATTGGTATTAACTTGTACTCCCTTCATTTTATTTTAAAATTTTTTAATAATATTTTATTAATTAATAAAAATATATAACAAATTTTAATATTTATATTTTTTTGAATCTATAATATTATATATAATATTATATTTGTAATTTAAGTAAAAATTAAAAATATTTTAATATTAATATATAATTATTTTTTCTAAAATAGAAAAATACTTAAGATGGTACATATAAATTACTAAAAATTGATACTGTTTATTTAGCGATTTTTTTTTTTTCAAAATTTATTATTCATCAATTTTTATTTATTTTTAAAAACATAAAATAAAACATATTTTTTATTTTTTATATTAAACTAACAAATTAATTTTATTCATTCTATCAATATTTATTTATATTGGATCATACAATTATTTTAATTCAAAATTTTACTATTCAAATTCAAATTCCTAAAAATGATACTAGGACGGAGTAAAGTATAAATTTAAATAAAATAGTCCCTTCCCTGCAGTCTAAGGGAGTTCTTTGTGATTTTGTAATAGATTAAGAAATAATAAAATTTTATTAATTAGTGCAAGTGTGTAAAATATTTTGACATTTTTGCCCATTAACTTTTATGTAAAAAATAATTGTATATGTAATAGTATATTTGTAATTAATGGAAATGTGTATAAAATTTTGATATTTTTGCCTATTGACCTTTATGTAAAAATTAAATATATTTTGATATTGGTGTATAATTATTTTTACTAAAATATGAAAAAAATACTTTAAGGGTGTGTTCGTTTGTAGAATTCTAACAAAATTCTACTATTCATCCAATTTTTTCCCCCCAAAAACATCAAATCAAACACCTATTTTTCATTTTTTATATTATACTAAAAATCAATTTTACATTCAAAACATCACATCATCACCTATTTATATCACATCATACAACTATTCAAATTCAAAATTTTTGCTATTCAAATTCCAACTCAAAATCCAAACTCCCAAACAAACACACCCTAAATATAAAGTTATTTGATGTAATATAAGACAAGAGAAAATAATAGAAAAGATACTTAGAGTTGGGATGGAGGGAGTACTAAGGGTAGGTTTTTTTTGGATTTTGAATTTTTGAATAGTAAAAAATTAAATATTAAGTTATTTGATGTAATATAAACTTGATGTAATGTTTTGAATGCAAATATAAAAAAATAATCATTTAATTTAATATTTTTTTTAAAAAATATAGTGTTAATAGCAAAAGCCCTGTGATAAAACAATAAAAAAAAAACACATCCTAACAATTTATCTTCTATAGAAACTTACACACTCTAAAAAAAACATACTCTTCCTTACCTTCATCGACCACCAACGCCATTCTCTTTCCCGCCACCGCCGGAGAAACTCCCGCCATCGCCGTCACCATCTCGCGGCGGCGGCAACGCGTCGAGCAGAGCTTCGGAAACGCAACGGCTCGCCTTCTCCTTCAACTCCTCGAGCACTCGAATCGCTTCCCTCGCTTCATCCTCGGCGCTCCGGCCGTGTCCCTCGAGCGCTTCCACGGCCTTCTCCTGAAAATTAATCGCCAGCGGATAGCTGCCGAATCAACACAAAAAAAAACGAAAAGCTCAGCCGCGATCGATCGACTCGCCGGAGATTCAATCGATCCAATTACGACAAGTTCGACAACAAATTCGAATACCTCCCGATCGCTGCATAAGCCTTCGAAAGATTCCGGCATGCCTCGATCGAGTCCGTATGGTGCGGACCGAGTGAAACGTCCATAACATCCTTCGCGTACGCAAACGCCTGCGCCGCCGATTGCGGCCGGTCCAACTCCATGTACGCCGCGCCCAAATTGTTGTACACGTAGCCGATGCCGTAATGCTTCGCGCCGAAACTCTCCTTAAGCCGTTCCGCCGCGTCTTCCAAATACGGGATTGCATTTTCGACTTTCCCCGTCAGCAGCAGCAGCCACCCGATCCTCGCCGAAACGCTCCCGACCGAATGCTGCTCGGAACTCAATCTTTCGAATATCGTTAACGCTCGTTTTAGCAACGATATCGCCGTATCGAACTCGTTCATCGCCTCGTATTGCGTCGATATTTCTGTAAACGATTCGGCGGCGGCTGCCGGGGAACAGGAGCTTATTCGGTCGAAAATCGACGTCGCGATCTGTAAACATCGCTTTGCGTCGGCGAATTTGTCCTGATTGAACAACGCTTTCGCCATGGAGATTAAGACTAATGCTCGATCGTCGCTCTCATTCTCCGTTTGCTCGACGACGCCTTTCAATGTGGCGATGGCAGCGTCGTATTTTCCGAGGGCGATCTTCATGTTGGCAGCGTCGATTTCTGCGCGGAGGAGGTCGGAGCTTCGGCCCCAGCTCTTTAACACCTTCTGCGAGAGATGGTTCTGCTCCAACGCCTTTTCGTGCTCGTCCAATCCCGTGTAGATTAAGCCGAGAAGTCGCCGATCGTATGCGACCTCGACGGAATTATGGCCTAAACACGAAATGTGTATCGACAAAGCCTTTGAGCAATACGGCAGCGCTTGTTTGAAGTTCAATACGGCGACGTAGGCCTCCGCGACGTCGCGATTCGCCTTGCCGAGCTCCTTGCTGTTCTCCTCAAAGCTCCTTTCTTTGATCTCCAATGCCTGCAGAAGATGGGACAGAGCTTCTTCCCGCCTTCCCATGGCGGTCTTAACATTGAAAAGCTCCGATTGGACGGCATGAGTTATAGCCAGGACATGATCGTTATCGAATTTGCTACCTAATGTGTTCAACACACGATTGGCTCGATTCAGATAACCTAAACTGTCGTTGAATCTGTTTAGCTTGAAAGATGAAGATCCTAAAAGCTGTAATGTCATTGCAAGAGGCAAACGGAATCTGCCATTGACGTCGTCCTCGTCGAAGCTTGCCAAAGCTCTCTGCGCATACGACGCAGCCTTTTCAGAGTCGTCGCCTTGTTGGTCGAGTTTGAGGCCGATTTTCAGGCACGCCATGGCCAAATCCTTCTCCTCAAAGCTCGCCGTTTCCATCTCCTTAAATGCCCTCACCATTTCCTCGACTGACTCCGCCGACTCAAAGGCCTCCTCCAGAACGGATTTCTCCTTTATTCTCCTCTGCCTCGACGATACCTGCGGTGCGTTTTGTGCGAGCGTGTTCAAACTCTGCGACTGCGCCTGAAATCCACCGGATTTGAGATCCGAGAAGAGCAAAAATCGAGCGTTGAGCTTCGCCGCCGCGGTGGCGGTGGTAGAGTTTCCTGAAAGGAGAGGCACTAGGGATTTGGCTCCGAATCCGACAAGCTTGGACGAAGCTCTTCTCATGGCGGACAATTTTGATGGAAACTTGAAGAATTCTCCAAAGATTCTTCACCTTCACCTGGACTGATCCGATATCAGATCGCAGAAGCAAAACCCTTCGAGAAACCCTCGACGTCGGCTGCACACCATTTCACTCGTGTCCTGTTCGTTCATGTGGACTGCAAACCTTAATTTTGGGCCCTTCTTCTATACCCAAAAATCTGAACCCAGCCCATCAAAAAAGTGATCCAATTGGTAACAATAATTTCTTAGTGAAAACTCGTAATCCCCATCCGGCGCCGTAACCGTCTACCGAGGCGTCGTCTGCTCTCACTACATTCGTTTTCTCTAGCGAGTTCCGATGGGGGGAAGGAGATAGCCAACAGTGCACCACTTTCGCGTCGGCCATTGCAGGTAGCAGTAGTTGGTGAATTTCTTTCATGATTTTACTTTTTAGATTGGGCGTTGAAATGTTCTGCGAAGAGTTTGGATTGATTGATGAAGAAATTAAGGATTGGAAAGTGTTTTATGCGATTCTGAGTTGGAATAAGGATATGTTCTGATGGTGTCCTAATTAGCTCTTCATATTATCTGACCGTTTGCATTTGAATTCGTAAGTGCTGACATTTCTTGATCGCCTTATGCTTGTTTGGAGATTTGGATTTTAGTTAGATATTTGAATAGAAATTTTTTTGAATTGAAATAGTTATATAGTGTGATAGAAATAGGTATTGATGTTATATTTTTAATGTGAATTTGATTTTTAGTACAATATAAAAATATAAAAATGAAAAATATGTATTTGATTTTATATTTTCGAGGAAAAAGAAGTTCGATCAATAGTAAAATTTTGTAAAGTTTTATAAAAGAACACACCCTACTAGTGTATTAGGTGCTGGATTTGATGAAAACTGTCAGGATTTTGATTGCATAGGATGGTGTTATAGGTGGTTCTAGACTTAAGGTTTTTAGGTTGAGAGAAAGAGAAAGAAAACTATGTCAGGCGGGGGTGCTCGACAATAAAAATGGAATTGCATAGAAATGATAGCTGAGATATATAAAAGTATAAATGCAATCGATCTAGAGGAGATTTATTGTGTTCCAATGGAGGGAAAAAGAGAAGATGAATCAATCATAAAGAGGCTAAGGATTGGATAAGAGAGGATTCTAAGTACATTGGAAATCGGAGAAATATGATGTGTTTATTTGGTACGTTTTTAGTTTGATTTTTGGTTTTTTATTTGAATAGTAATTTGAATGTAATGTTTTGTGAGAGAAAATAATAGTCCTTTTGTCCCGACTCAAAGTATACATTTTATTTTATTGAGGAGCCGAAGTGTGTAAGATGATATTAATATTTTTGTCTTTCCCAGTAACAATGAAAAGAATGATTTTGTAAAAGTTTGAGGTAATTTGGTATTTATATATGCATTATATTTACTATAATTGAAAATAGAGTGAGACAAATAAAAATGGTAAAATGAGTACATTGAGTTGTAATGGAGAATATATTTTTATAGAGGATAGAAAGTTCATTAGTGTCAAAGAAAAAAAATATTACCGAATGAACATCCTGTTTTATTGAATTATCATTTCTCTCTATTATTTTGTGTAAGAGAAATGAAAATAGATCAATTTCTCAATTAAAAATTTTGACTTAAACAAACCAGAGAAATTAGGATATTTTTATTTTTTTTGTCTTCATTTCCTGTACCAAGCGGCACCCTTAGTGTAGATTGTGGCAGATTCAAAGAGGCTGTTGACAACATGAACAAACTGCTGTTTCCATTGATGTGTTTTGTTGCTGAATTTGACAAAGATATTGTGAACTGCTTCATTTCGACAGTCTTGTCTCTAGTTTTATTACTCTAATGGCTGTTTCATTGTTTTGTCACGGTTTCTGCAATTGAGCGATCCAGTTTTCTTTTTAGTGTGCAAAATTGTTTGACAACAAGATGAAATGTGATTTATTTTTGTTGTTGTCGCGGCTGATGTCTCTATGACCAGTTTTGGGACTATAGGATTCATAGGAACACAAAGCTAAAACTGATATTGTCGAGAAAGCATAAGAATTGAAATGCTTTAGATGCTTTCCTACTGAGGTTCTTCATGTGTTTATTGAGTGCACTATTACTGTCGAAAAATCAAATGCTTCAATGCTTCATTTAAGTTGATTGTATCAAGGACGAGATTTGAAAAGTTTACTTGTCATGTGATCAACCAATGCAAATAAAAAATAGAGAACGGTTAGGGTGCTGATTGAGGTTGATTGGATTATGTGTTGTATTCGTATTTATCTAAACATATACCTTTTGTCGTCAATATATATCTCATGTTCTGTCGGTATATAGTTTGTGTGTTGTCAGTATTGTGCTAACTAATTATAATTAGCTAAATAAAAGTCGCCTTAAAAAACAAACCAATTTGGCAAATCCCTTATGGCTTTCAGGGAAAGATACCCCTCATTGCAATGTTGGATCTTAACACATTTACTCGAACATTTATTTTTCTAGTTGTGCTCCATGTGTCCATTTACATCTCCCGATTCGTGAACATTACTGTTTTCAAGAACTCGGGTTTCTAACTTGTCAACTCTCCTAAATGCTAGATTTATCGTGTTCAATGCATTTTATCTTACCTTTTGCTATTTAACATATCCTTGGAATTTCGATGCTACATTTTCCGAATATGAATATTTCTTTCAGAACTGTTTTATTAGGTTAACCTTACTTATTCTGTTTCTCCTCACTGTGACATCTACTTAACTTTTATCGCGTGCATTTATTATTTGTTTGTAAAATCAGTTTCAAAGTTGGATTTTGATGAAATCACATTCCAATTGCTCCGAAAATTCTATAGATGTTTTAGCGCGCATTTATAGTTTCATGTGGAATTGATTATACTTATATTTCTCCGGCAAAGGCAACACTAGGCGTGTTAACAAGGAGAACTAATATGCTAGCTGCCCAGATTCTCCCACTTATTCACATCTCTCACAGGTCCCTCTCTTTTCTTTTTATGATCGTTAAAAAAAGAATATCGATGTGTATATGATGTTATATATAAACCATTTCATTTCTAACTTATCTCGACAAAATACAGATGTAGATGTCCTGCAAGAATCCCATCTTCGCATTCTGGTCGCGTTTCCAGGAAAGTTAGTCGTGTCGAGGGGTTTAAACCTCACGAGCTTATCACTCTTAATAAACGAAGCCACCCTATTTCTGCTCTGAATACAAACGATGGCCATCCAATTTTATCAGCGTCTGAAGCATCTGTGAACAAAGATTCTGAACTGAATAATGAATTGAGTTCGTTTCTGAACCAGTGGTCGCCTCCTCGGTACTTATGGAGAGGACTATCGGTTTCTATATTAGCAGGCCAAGTGATCATCAGGGCTATAAAGGGCAAAATCCACTGGAAAAACACTCTGCAGCAGCTGGAAAGAGTCGGCCCTAAATCAGTCGGCGTTTGTCTCCTGACATCGGCATTTGTTGGCATGGCCTTCACAATCCAATTTGTCCGGGAATTCACTCGATTAGGACTGAATAGATCTATCGGCGGTGTCCTCGCCCTCGCCTTTTCGCGCGAGCTAAGCCCCGTTGTCACATCCATCGTAGTCGCTGGCCGTATTGGCAGCGCATTTGCCGCTGAATTGGGCACAATGCAAGTCTCCGAGCAAACAGACACTCTGAGGGTTCTCGGCGCGAATCCTGTCGATTATCTGGTGACCCCTCGAGTCCTGGCCTCGTGTATTGCCCTCCCATTTTTAACCCTGATGTGCTTCACTGTGGGAATGGCGTCGAGCGCCCTCCTTGCAGACAGCGTCTACGGCATCAGCATCAATATTATCTTAGACTCTGCTCAACGATCTCTCCGATCGTGGGATATAATCAGCGCCATGATTAAGTCTCAGGTCTTCGGCGCGATTATATCAGTGGTGAGCTGCGCTTGGGGCGTGACAACTCTTGGAGGCGCCAAGGGTGTCGGGGAATCTACAACCTCGGCTGTGGTTGTGTCTCTGGTCGGGATATTTATTGCGGATTTCGCCCTCTCGTACTTCTTCTTCCAAGGAGCTGGAGATTCCCTCAAGAACTGTATGTAACAATCTTTTACATTTCCTTATGTCTTTTACATATCGATAATATTTTCGCTACTTAGCCAGTCTTAAGTCTTTTCAATACACCGTATTGTCGAACTTGTAGGTTAATCGATTCAATATTGAGCTATTTTATGGTTTTGTCTTACCCTGTTCGAGTCTTCCATTGTTATGCATTGTTTTGTGATTACTTATTCTTTTTAGGGCAGCTAGGGTACTGAATGATATATATATATATATATAGGCTAACATATAACAAAAATAAACAGAATGCACATAACAGTTGTCTATCCAATAGATCTTATCGTATACATTACATGTAATTTGTGTTAATATGATATAATTTGGGTCAACTTATTTATTAAAAAATAAAAATAAAAAAGCTTAATTTAAGCTTATTTTCAAAATATATTTAATTAATTGAAATAGATTACTACACCTTTTTAGGTCTATCAAGTTTGCATATATATATATATATTTGATTTAATATATAAAATTATTATATTTTTAAGTATTTCTATTTTTTTTTGAAAAAAAATAGTGCCTATATAAAATTAATTTATTTTAATTATAATTATATGCATACATAGAAAAAAAAATTAGATCTATATTTTTCTTCTTTTTACTAATATTGAATTTTAAAAACTTATTATATAGACTTTTTAATAAACTTGTAGATCACTATACTTTAAAAAAGACCAAGACTACCCTTACAATGTTGTTTCATGCTAATAGGTAAAAAAAAGTATGACATGTTTAACCAAAGTCTGATTTGACCTATTTTCCATCTCTATATATGACAATGCTGATTTAAGAATAATTATGTTATATATTACATTGAAACTAATCTACACCAGATTGAGGCTATGGAGATTAGTCTCAATCAACACCATAACGATGCCGGTATTATTTACTCGAAAAAGAACTTTAAAGAAGTTAAATTAGAAGCAATCTAAAACATCATGGAATCGTAAATAGACAGTGTCTTGATGCTGCTGTTAGAATGCATGCAAACTACTTACTGTTAGGGTCAAGAAACTGGCAATGTCTTTCTTTCTCCTGTAGTAAAAAAAAAAGTGGTGTCACCTTTTATTTCATTCTTTGGTAGTGAACTTATAATTATGGAGCACTATTAAACACACCAATGAACTAAACAGAATTAAAGTGGACATCAATTATTACGCCTGCCTAAATTGACTTTAGGAGGCATAATAATAAGCAGACATACATAAAAATTCATATGCAAGTGTTGCTTACTCAATGACCAAATAGACTATCAACCCATGATGTTCTTTTATGACATATGCTGGTGAAAAGCTGAGCCACCAGATCTACCTACGATGATTGTCATCAATCCCAATTTGTATATATATTCATATTTTTATCTGGGGTGGTTCCCTTATTGATTTCCCAGTGAAAAGATGGAAGTTTGGGGGTGGGGGGTGGTTCTTGACATAATGGTTGCCCCAAATATTTTGATCAAAATGAGAACACATAATGATACAGGGAGAATAATGATGGATTCACTCAATGAGGGTTTGTTAATTTATCTCCAAACATTTGGAAAGGGAGAATGATTCTTGGCCTTTATCTTTCTGCATTCATAAAATGAAATCCACTTATATTATATATGTGGAACCATCACATTATGAAATGTAAATTGAAACTGATAAAGATGAAGCAAAAATCTCTTCAAATTACCCTCACAATCATCCTAGGGAGCAAAGAAAGTTAAAAAGTATATAGAACAAAAGTAAAACATAGCATATGTTAAATCTTTGTCGAATTCCATTCCATTTACATTAATTTAGAAACTTGAAATGGGTTTTGCCCTTTTGGGAAGATAACCTGAAACTGGACCCGAAGATTCGGATACGGGTATCCGATTCAAAAGAGAACAGTGGAAATTGAAAGCCTTGAAAATGATGGGTTTAGTCCGGGAGACAGGGATTGACAGTAGACCAGATTTTTGTTCACAAACCGGATTCGAATCTTTCGGGTTTTGGGTCAGGGTATTCGGAGGGTCCTACCCGAAAGGGCGCTCCTGGTGCTGATGGCGGAGAAAGCGGAGGGAGGATAGGATAGGGATGTAGATGAAGGGAGGATAAGAAGCATGGAAATCATGGTGTTTGCCATTTCAGTGGACTAAACCCTAACATCCCTTTTCCATACAGGGAGGGGTATAATGGGGATTTCAACAATTGCGGCGAAAGTGGCATGGAATGGTATCGAATGGTGGGTGCGCTGTACATATGGTGAACTGTTGGAAGTCCCTTTGTATAAAAAGACAGCCACTTTGGGTTTCCAAAAAAACTTGGAATCGAACCGTTGTGGGGAACTTCGTACCTGTCTTTGAGGGCACTTTTCCTCTCCTCTTTCGAGCAACAATTGTGAATTGGTTAGGAATTTCTTGGTTTGGTTTATCTTGGCGCAAATGGCAGAAATAGTTGTTGTGTTCATGTTCTTGTTACAGAGTTTAATGGCGGATCACAGTGAAAGTCTTGTTTAGTGTCTAAGAAGGAGGGGGTAGATCAAAGATGAAGTGCTCTGTGTCGTTTGATGTGCGATAACAAGGATCCTTTTGTCAATTTGGGTTCTTATCGAATCGAGCGTTTTTCTAGGGTTACAGTTTATTAAATATGGAAAATTATTTGAACAGCTTGGATGAGAGAAAAAATATGTTTGGGGGTTTCTGTGGGAATTCTGTGAGCTGATTGATTCAAGAAAGTCTGTATTGCGTTAGAGGTTTTAGTAGTGTGTGTGGAATTGGGAGATGGGGAAACATGACAGAATGTTGCTGCCGACGGTGGGACCTCCGATAAAGAGACGGTTGAGAAGGAAACAGGCAGGAAGAGGATCTTACAGAGGGAGTTAGGGATTGTGGTTGTACGTTCCACGGCGAGGGGGTGGCGGAAGTAGGTGGAATTTTGAAGTTAGAGAGTTGGGGGGTTTTGGGGGTTAGGGTTTGTTTAAGCTCATTGGGAGAGGAGGAAAGATGGGGGGCCAATTGCAGCCATTGTTGAGGAATCTTTGTTTCGACTCTGGTTGGAACTATGCTGTGTTTTGGAAGCTAAAGCATCGGGCACGAATGTGAGTTTCTTTCGAATTTATTCGAAGTTATTAGTCACATTGATTTTGTGTAGCTTTCTGTAAAACTCATTCAATTGAAGATTGACATTTTGTGCAGATCTGCTAGTTAGATTATTTGGCTTTTTATGGAACAGAGTTTTGATATGATCTGCTGTTTTGTATGATTCTCGATGAATTTTAACTTGAGAGATATTTATGTGTGTTTTCGACGATTTTTGTTTCAGAAGGATTTGAATTTGCTTTAGATTCCTCTGTAGTTTTACTTCATACATTGCAGTGTAGAATTTTTATCTATCTGAATGTCATCAGGATCTGGAGTTGTAATTGATTAATATATGTGATTCAAACAATCCCGGTTTATTTTATTTAATGCAATGATCGATTTTCTGTATCTTCAAATTCTACATGAATATGTATATGTTCGTTGCTAAATGATTACTTGCATCTCCGATTGTAAGGTTATGGAAGACTAATGTGGATTTAGTAGGTTTTGCCGAATTTAGTAGCTTTGAACATAAACCAGAGTTCTATCACACTGGCGGGAGATAATCGCAGCTGTTTGCACTTTAGTATAAACTTTTAATTAATAGTCGAAGACCGAGATGTAGCTAACAACAACATGTTTACCGGTGTTTTCTTAAAATATGATATTCCTTTTTTCGTGGTATATGTTTAAATTATTTCCAAGAGAATTTATTTGTGGCGTGTAGTTTTGGCATCTGTGTAAGAATGAATCAATTTTCGGCAATGAATCCACTGACGAAGCAAATTTGATTCAGGATGCTGACTTGTGAAGATGCCTATTATGTCGGCAATGAATCCACTGATAGGAAGTGGTTCAATTCCACTCCCAATGATCCTTTAGGATTAGTTGTGGCGAAGATGTCTTATGAAGTGTACTCTCTCGGGGAAGGGTATGTTCGTTGTCAATTGAGCACAAATTGTAGGGGCGATATATTCATATTTTTATGTACTTTGAAGAATTTCTTCATTTATTCTTTTGTTTTTGCATCGACAGGATTGTTGGACAGGTAGCGGTTTCTGGGAAACATTCATGGATATATTCCGATCAGACTGTTTCTGAATCTTCCTCTTCATCTGAGGTATGTTCGTACAATGTTAACTACTCTTATGCGAGGAGATAATCTTTAATTCCATATGCTTGAAATTATTGAGCTAATTTTGATCGGAAAACTCTCTTATGTGCAGTATTTTGGTCCGTTGCAATCTCAGTTTTCAGTTGGCATTAAGGTAATCCTCAGTTAGATTCATTTTTTATTTGATATATCTTTTTATTTGTATGATTTGAGAATTGAATATCGACTAAATAGGAAAACAAACAAGTGATTGTGAGATAAGATTGTAAATTAGCTACTTCAGGGAGACTCTTTACGTTTTCGGTTAAAATCCCGATTTAATATTTATGGTATTATCGACATTTTACCAATTACTATATAAGTTCAGTTTGGGATCAAGTAGTAGTATGAAACCTGCTACTATTTCTTATTTTTGTCTAAACCCGAAATGGATAAGCTTGTGTATTTCTCTATGAACCAAGGATATAGGTGTGTTCAGATATGTTTTGGAATTCTGGATTGATTTGGGAATAGTAAGAAAAAGTTTGAATCGGCAATAGGTGTCGGATTTTATGTTTTTTCAAAACGAAACTATTGAAGAACAATACGAACACAAATCTGAATTTTTAAGTAAACAGAGGTTATGTTCTTCGACCTATTTCCGAGCTTCTCTGAACTAAATCTGTTTCATTTTGAATTCATTTCCGGATTCTGTTATAATACGGGATATTGTCTCACAGACCATTGCAGTTATGGCTGTTGTTCCACACGGCGTCGTACAGCTTGGATCCCTGCATAAAGTACGTACGGCTACTCAAGTTTCATATAACTATTCATTACGCTTTGGCTTATTTTAAGTATTTTTGGGTATGGTGCGAATGCCAGATTGAAGCCAAAACCTCTTAACTAAAACTATTCTTTTATCTTTGTCTGGATTAGATTGCCGAGGATTTGAAGCTGGTCGAGCATATCAGAAATGCATTTTGCGAGTGGCTAGACTCGAGAAGTAAAACGGAGAGTTACTGTCTGGTAAACGAATCCTCTCTCTTGCATTCGTTGCTATATAGTGTGTCGAATTTTATTTCCCTACCCATCTGATTCGCTGCATTCTTTACCAGTCGGACGATTCTACGGTTCTTGATTTGAAGAGTACGTCGCACGACGAAGAGGTAAATTTGTGGTCTTTGTTGTATTCGCCATTACGAGACTCTACCGAGCAGGCGAGCGGATTGTCGAACAAAGCTTCCAAAGCGAACGTCGCAACCGGGGCCGACATTTCATATCCCTCGAGTTCTCGAAATATTCTCACTGGGCTGATAGAGATAGAGGCGACGGAATCCCTTAACGACGGACAATATGGCGAACGGAATGACTCGAAAGATGTCGTAAAAGGATCCATGGGGATGTCTAAGAGTGCTGGGATCGGAAAATCTAGTTTATCGAATTCCGATAAATCTCAAATGGTTGATGATATCGCGATCCGGGATCAAGATCCCGAGCTGTCCGACCTGCGACGGTACAACGAATTCGGAAACCTCGAACCGCCGATCAAATCTAGCTGTGTCGGGATGCAGATTTTGCCGTTCGGATTCGGATCCGGGTATGAGCTGTACGAAGCATTGGGGCCGTCGTTTCGGAAGCAGATCGACTGCGTATGGCATCCCGGGAAATCTGATTCCGATATGGCTATCGACATTTCGGAGGGAATTGGAAGTTGCAGTCTGATGCCGGAGAGCTCCGACGCGCACCTTCTGGATGCCGTCGTGGCTAAAGTTAGTGGCAAAGTGAACGATGCCGCCGCGAGCGAGAAATCGTGCCGCAAAACCCGAGGATCTCTCCCTGCTACCGAAAAAACGATCTGCAGTAGTAGTAGCATAGCTACCGTTAGCTCGGCAGGATATTCGTTCGAAAAAGGCGCGTCGAGCAGCTTGAACTCCGCAACGACGTGCGGGGCCGAATCTTTTAAAGGGTTTTCATCGCCAAGCTCCAGTCGAGGAAGCGACTATTTCGGGAGGCTCGTCAAGACTAATAAAAAGAGATCCCGACCCGGCGAGAGCTCTCGACCGAGGCCTCGGGACAGGCAATTGATCCAAGATCGAATTAAGGAGTTACGGGAGCTTATTCCGAGTGGATCCAAGGTGATTACAATCTCCTTTTTCGTCGCGTTTGAGCGTATACATATATATATGTTTTTGCTGAAATGTCGTGATTTCTTGCAGTGCAGCATCGATTCCCTTCTCGAGCAAACGATCAAGCACATGCTGTTCTTGCAAAGTGTCACAAACCACGCCGAGAAGTTAAGCAAATCCTCGGCTTCTAAGGTATTGATTATCCGATCGAGATCCATTCTTTTCGGGATTTTGATTTGACATTTCTTTTTCCCAACAAGGACGCAGGTGCACGGCGATTTTCCTGTACCGAGCAGGGTTCGAGCTGGGCGATGGAGATGGGAAACAATGGCCAGAAATTCTTCCCGATCATCGTCGAAAATATGAACATGACCGGGCAGATGCTCGTCGAGGTATCTATCGACGAATTTTTTTTCTCGAATATATCCTCCGGAAAATTAACTTGCGCTTGATCGATCCATCGATCGATTACCGTTACAGATGCTGTGCGACGAGTGCAGCCAGTTTCTTGAAATCGCGGACGCGATTCGGAGCTTGGGTCTAACGATTTTGAAAGGCGCCTCCGAAGCCTACGGGAGTCGGACGTGGTTGTGCTTCGTCGTCGAGGTATGTATGTATGCATGTATAGATCCGTCGAAAATATCTCGAACAAAAGCTCCGTTTCGATCGAAGCTTTTGAGTTTCGGAAAAATTTGAAAATAAAAAATTATTGGTATTTGATTTGATAATTTTTTAAAAAATTATTGTTAATAAATTGTGTCGCAGAATAACCGGAGCATGCATCGGATGGACATATTATGGTCGCTAATGCAGCTTCTGCAACCGAATATCCCGAGATGATCGATCGATGAACCGGCCCGGTTCGGTTCGGTCCGGTCCGGTTTTTAATTTGTAAGAGATTTGTGTGCTATTGTTTTTCTTTCTTACAGCTATTTTTTGGTACGAATGTTTTGGCGTGATCTTGACTTGTTTGTATTTTTGGTTTATGATTTTTATTATTTATTTATTTATGAATTTCCAAGTAAAAAAAAAAAAAAAAAAACAGGACTGGGAATTATTTGTGTGTCATTTATTTATTTATTTTGGGTGAATTTATTTATTTGATTTCATTTTCATGACATCTTCACTTCACTACTTAATCCTTATATTGTGCTTTGGACTTTGAATTTTTGCTTCCTCTTCAAACTACACACACATACTATAATATTGTATCTATTTATTTATTTATTTATCTTTGTCGATGTCTATGTCTCTATTTGCACTCGTTTGCTTATGATTGTTTCGATTAATTATTTTATTATTCAGCATATATGGGGTTTTAATAAAATATATTATTATTCTTTAATTTATGTAAGAAATGTAAATGAATATATACAAAATAGACAGAATAAATGATAAAAGTTTGTTAAAAATAAATAAATAAATAAATTCCTTTCTGAATGAAGCTACAAGAGTATGTTATGTATGAACATTTGAATTTATGGTTCGGATATTTGATGAAATTTGAACCTAATATAAGTGTTAGGTTGACTTTGTAATAATTAATAGATAAATAATATGTGATTTTATTATTTAAATTTTTAAGTGAAACAGTCATTTAATATAGTATAAAGCTGGTATGTCTATATTCCTTCAAATTCAAAATTATAAGATCCAAATAATAATAATAATAAAAAAATTGCTTTTAACATATTTGAAATTTTAATTTTTTTATTATTAAATTAGATGAATTCATTACTAAACAAATAATTTCTGCTAATCAAAACACATATATAAGAGAAGATTATCTAATATTTAAATATATCAAACAACATTAAAATAAAATTTCCAAATGAGAATTATGGGTGCACATTTCCACTTATAAAAAATATTTTGATTCGATCCAATTCAAAAAATGTAAATTCCTTCGATAAAAATTAGCTTATTTAGATTCGCTCCGAAAATTTAAAAAAAAATAAAATATTTTATTAAAAATAATAAAAGTAAACATATAGTTAAATATATTTTTTGAAGATTTAATTATTAATCAATTGACTGTAAAGACATAATGTAATAAATATAATAGTAACTATTATAGTAAATAAGTATTAAATGTTAAATATTAAAATTTTGAATTTTTTAAAATTAATAATGCACTAGATTTAATGGATGAACTAAAAAGAAAATTAAAAATAAATTTTATGAACAAAATGAATATTGGGTAAATTGTTCTTTTAGTCCTGTATTCGACTCCTTTTATCGTTGTAGAATTTTAAATGAATCATGTATGAAAATAATCACATTAGTAATTTTTTTTTTCCGCTAAAATGGTCATCCAGTGCCGAACTTGCCACGTTGGCAGCCGTTGCTGACGTGGCTAAGATGTCATCGCTACGTAGATGCTACGTCGGAAGACCATTTTAGCAAAAAATTTTTACATGCAGTACTATTTTGAGAATAAATCCATTTAAATGTCTTAAAAATTATAAATGAGGTTATATACGAGACTAGAAAATAGTTTACCAAGACATTTTGTAAAAATTTAAAATAAAACAAAATTCCGTGTCACTGACGTGACATTTACGCGACAATGATATGTCAGCTGCGTCAGCGCCACATCTGTAACAGCAGACCAGCGTGACGAGTCTGGCACCGGAAGACTATTTTAATAAAAAAATTTTACTTACGAAACTATTTTAAAAAAAAGTCCACTTAAAATTCTAAAATAATAAAGGAACTTAGATATAAGACTAAAACAACAGTTTAGTCGTGAATATATTATTTTGATTTAAATAGAAAATTCAAAATTCGAAGGGTAGGGCGTGTAATGAATTGTGATGATCCCCACACGTGCGGCGGTCCCACGTGCCAGTGGATGTCGGCCATGGCTTTCTAACGCCACATTAATTACATATATTATTATTAATTAAGTAATTAACCAAACACACCCTTTCTAATTAATTTAATTTAATTTAATTTAATTTAAATTGGCCCTTACTGTTACAACACAACACTTGTCACTAATGATTTGGTTGGGCCCTTTACTGCCTTATCATCATCATTATTATTATTATTATTATTATTATTATTATTATTATTATTATTATTATTATTAATAATAATAATTTTAAATTTGCAAATTGAAAGGCTTACTAATTAAAGAATCCACATTTGTAGCTTTAATTTAGTTCTTGGTTTGCCTAAAGTTAAGCTGCTTGTCTCACTTTGCCCCCCACTTAACACTTCCAAAATTATAAATTTAATCCAATACTTTTAATTAATGATATTACTTTTATTTCATATATTTTATGTATTTTAATGTTATATATATATATATATATGTAATTTAAAAAAATAAATATAATTTTCGGCATCTAATTAATTTTTATAAAAGGTGACGATGTTTTTCAACTCGGCTTAGATAAAAATTTGAAAAACTTTCTGAAAATTTACAAGAAAATTAAAAATGATAAAAAAATTTGGTATTTAATGTAATATTTTATGATAATAAGTAAATATTTAATGCATTATATATATTTTTTGAAATTTTAGTGTTAATGAATAATTTTATTTAAACCTTTAAAGTGTGTATGTAAACAACATTTTGGTAAGGTATGTGACTAATAAATAAATGAAGACATATATGAGAAATAAAATAGGTAATTAACTATACAAAATTTATAATTTCCTGTCTATAAATATTTTATATTAGATATTAAAATTAACATCCAAAAGAGCCAATATATACAAAATAAAATCTGAAAATGAACTTTAACCTTTGGGTTTTTGTTTGGTTAAAATTTCAAAATCAAATCACCACTATTATTAATTTTGTATGATACCCAATAAAAATACACAATTACTCCACAACCAAACAAACCCTTCATTTATTTTTTATTTTTTATTTTTTTAATGTTTTCCTACATAACATTTTTTTTTTCTTAATTATAATAGTTAATTTTCTCTTGTATCATATTAAACCATTATTTAAACAATAAACCGAAATATGAAACACAAATACAGAGCCAAAATAAGCAAATCATAATATTTTTATTTTGTAAAGAATACTACAATATATTCTCTTTGGAGTTTTAATTTATTTCAATATTTTTACAATGTAATTATTGCGATTATTTATAAAAAAATACACTATTTTCTCTCCTAATACATTATTTACCCAGTGCGCACTTTCGGGTAGCGACTGTGGATTCTCACGTTATATAAAAAAGAGAAAGAGAAAAAGAAAAAACCCACAAAAAATAAAATAAAATAAAATTTGTGGAGTGGTCTATAAAAGTTTAAACAGGGACAATAATGTTTCACCTGAAATCAATTTTTAATTTGCAGGAAAAAGAATTAATGAATTAATCATGCAATTACTTAATTAAATAAATAAAAAAAACCTTAATTAATTATTAAATAATAATAATAATAATAATAATAATAATAATAATAATAATAATAATAAATCTATAACCATGAGTTGGAAGAATATAATGTACGGAATCATAACATGCAAGTTATAGAATCTTATTTATTTATTTATTATTTATATATTGCATGCATTATATTATGAGGATAATATATATAATTAGTTTGAATAATTGTTATTAGTTTAGTCTTAAACATGCTTAGTGGACATCCATTTGAGTTAATCGCTTCAATTATCGATTTTTTCGACCAACACTGATTTAAAATTAAATAATAATATTACAATTTAAATTATTCGATATTGAGTTATTTATTAATTTAATTTATTCATATATATATATATGATGTGTATTAATTAAGCAAATTACATAATCAATTAATGAAACATCCAATATTAATAAAATTAAATACGTATCCATTTTTTTTTAAGTAACTGTACTATCTACCGAACATTACAAATACCCTTACAACTTACAATATATTATACAAATTTCATTACTTTTATATCACACATACTAATAAGGTTATTTTAGTCATTTCTACTTTATTCCTACTACATCACACTATAATATTAATATTTCTAAAATTACGTGCAAAAAACAAATGGATATTTAATTACGGGAGGGAGGGAGTATATTATTTGTTTAACAAAATGTCGTAGTAAATTCATATTTTATTGAGTTAATATGCAACTTTGTGTTCTTTAAATAAAAACATAGTAGGAGCATTTAATTTAATTTAATTTAATTTATAAACATTGCTATCTATTATATATATATAGCTAGGAATTGGGGTTTTATTTATTTATTTTTTTGTAACTATATATGTATATATATATTAATGTTATGAATGATGATAAATTTAGGCTTCCTTATCATAATCATTGTATAAATTAACTTAATAAAAAATAAAAAAAATTCCATGAAAAAACAAAACCTTCAATTAAAAAAGTGGCTTTAGGTGAGCATGAAAAAAAAAAAAATGAAAAAAAAAGAGGGTTTAATTTAAATATTAAATAATGAGAAAGGGAGTTTGCTTGTTTAGGATTATATATGTATATCCATTATTTATTTATAAAGACTATAGTAACTTTTTAAAAAATAAAAAATAAAAATCATACTTTATTAATTAAAAAAAATAAAATTATATTGCTAAAATAATAATTGAAAAAAATAGATATACTAGTATATGAACAATGCATCGATAATTATTAATGAATTAATATAATATAGACATGTAAAATGTATTATGATTGATTAAGTAATGTTATTTAATTATATAAAATTTTATAATGTGTTATTTTATAATGGGCCTAATTAAGTAATCGATTAAAGATGATTGTCTTTAAATAAATAAATAAATAAATAAATAAATATATAAGAATGTCTTGGTTTGAAGTGGCCAACAAGTACACATGACTTAATCTTTTCATTAATAATTGTATTTAATTAATTAATTTATTATTAAATTCCAAATTAAAATTCCAAATCCAACACAATCACATAATTTCTGAGAGAGACAATTGTGTAACAAATGAAATTAATATAACAAGATTAAATATTTCAAACTATAGAAGTAATTAGTAGAAATGGAACATTAAAAATGTAATCTTGATTATTTAATTATTCAATAATATACATACTGTAGTTGGTGGACAAAGTGTGGCCTCCAATATATTAAATTAAATAAACCAAATATTAATTCAAAATAAAAAATAATATTGAAATAAAATAAAATAAAATAAAAAGTAATTAAACTCCATGCTTATATTTAAATGTATCATTAGGTGGTTTCTTGCCACTACTGTCACTATCTTTTGTTTCATTCCCTTTTAGAATGTTTATTATTATTATTATTATTTTATGTAAAAAATAAATATTTATTCGGTTAAAAATATATATATATATATTTATTATTTATAGATTCTTTGCTATCTTTTATTATCATAAATACAAAAAAAATATGATTAAAATAGTAAAAAAAGAAAAAATTAAAATTATACTATCTAAAGTAAATAAAATAAAATAAAATAAAATGAGATGAGATAGTAAGAGGGATGACACACCGTACCGTACCGAAAATATCGGTCGATTGATACCGATATTGTATCAAATTTTTCGGTATGATTAAAATACATATTGGTATCGTACCGAAAATTTCAATTTCGGTACGATACCGGTATATACCGCTTATACCGAAATTTCGGTAGATACCGGTATATACAGATTATACCGAAAATATAATTTTAAATTTTAAAATAATTAAAAATAATAATAAGTATCACTATTCTTCACCACAAAAATATTATGAAAAAATAAATAAATTTTCAATAGTTTACATATTTTTTTGCTTTAAAAAAATATTAATAATTAAATTATTTAATAAAAATAATATCGATACGGTATCATACCGAAATACCGAACTTTCCGAAAATTCATACCGATACCATACTGAAAACTTCGGTACGATATTCATACCGTACCGGAATTTTCGGTATATCAAAATTTTTGATATTTTTGACACGATACGGTACGATAAATCGATATTTCGGTACGTCGGGTAAATTTCTCCATCCCTAGATGGTAATAATTATAATGGTGGGGTTGGGGGTTAATTTTATAAAGTGGTTGAAATAACCTTTTTAGGTTATTGTGGGTGGATTTTGAACCATATATCACTAACCTACATTCAATAATTTTAATTTAATTTAATATGTAGTAGCATAGGTTTTCTTGAAAAGGATGAAATCCAGAATTGCATAATTAAATAAAAAAATAAAATTAATTTAATTAAGATTATTTTAAAATCTCGAAATTCTAGGGTACATAAAGCAATGGAATTTTGTCTTGTTACTAATTATTTGTGGGATCATTAAAAAAGCATTGGGATTAGTGTATTATTATATTATTTTTTTAAAAAAAAACTTTGAAATGATAAATGTGCCCTATAATATATAATAATTCAATTAATTACTAATTACCGACCCTATATATAATTATATATATATATATATATACATGCATGCACATATACCCCATCATCAATCTTAATTAATTAAATTAATTTATTTACCATAGTGACATTTCAATAATATACAAAATTAAAATGAAATTCGATTATAATTAAATAATAAGTAAGATTAATTAAAATCAGTGTCTTTAGCTGTATACATTTATTTAATATAGTTACAGCTAACAATATATATATATATATAGTTATATTTATATTGAACATTGCACTAGAGAATGAAATACGAGTCAAACATTTTAATTAATTAATTAGTTCGATATATATATATACTCTCTCCGTTCCAAAAGAGACATTTTGTTGGAAGTTGACATGAAAATTAAGGAATAATAGTATTTAATTGAAAGTGGGTATAAAGTATAACGTAAAAGACTGACTATAATACCCTTACTTTTTTTTAAGGATTTAAAAAAGTAGATTAGAGTAATAATTAGGAGTAGTTTGAAAAAGTATGAATAATTTTGTTATAAAGTGGGGACCACGGTTACTAAATAAGAAAATAGAGATAATTGTTTTGGGACCGACAAAAATGGAAAAATTTGGGACGGAGGGAGTATATATGTTAGAAGCTTATTTATTTTATTTTATATAAATTCATTGTACTATGTAATTATAATTCAATCAAATTGCAATATAAATTGTATGATTGGAAGACCACATAAAGGTAAGTGGAAAACAAATAATTCCTATTATAGAAATTAGAACGATTATGATATTGACTAGTAATGTGAAAATAAAATATAAATATAATATTTTTGATAAAAAAAAATTAAATTAAATATGTATTTAATAAAAAAAAAAATAGGAGTACAATTATATTTATTAATTATTATATTAATAAATAGTAAACTTATTCCTTGTAGCAAAAAATTAAAGTATAATAAATAGTGTCAAAATTTAAAAAATAAATAAAAAATAAACAGGGTCATAATATCCTAATTACACCCGAGTTAGATATTAATAATTGTGATTGAATCGTGTATTAAATTATTAATATATATTAAAATAATTTTATTGAACAATATAAAAAAGCTTTTGAACCATGCATAAAAAAATCATCCAAAATATTGTATAAATGTTGCAGTGAAAATGTTAAACTATCACATTTAATATATTAAAAAAAAATAATTTATCGAATAATCAGTAAATTCATCGGATCACACTATAAAATTGTTGAATAATGTAAAGATATTGAATAATAAAAATTATTCATCGAGCCATATAAATCTACTTAATACTTATTCAATAATTATATATATATATATTATATTGACGACAGTTAGAGTATTGATTAAGACTAATAAACACACAAAATACACATGGTTGATAAAAACATGAGGTATAAACTAACGGTACTATTAATATAACACAAAACACAATATATAAACCGATAATATATAATAATTGTTCATATAACACATATTATGATCGAGCATAAATGTGTATATATATAATTATGTTAATTCACCCCCACCTCAAATACTACTCCCTCGTTCCGTATATTTTGGAACTATTACTGTAGATACGAGAATTTAAATAAAGTATAATTAGTAAGTAATTAAGAAATGTATTAGTAAAAATAATTATAGATTAAAATTAAAATAACTAAATAGTATAATTAAGATTAAGAATATAAAATTTAAAATGTGATTAAAATGTATAATCATATTTCCAAAAAACAAAGGACAAATTATATGAGACAAACGAAAATAGAAAATATAGACAAATTATATGGAAGAAAAAGAGTAAAATTTATCAATATGTTATGTCTTTTAGTATTATAATTATTTTTCACCAGTTGCTACTATATAATAAGAAAAAAGAACAGTATCAAATCGATAAAAATATCCACCCTGAAGTTCAGAAGAAGTTGATTCCGCCACTGTATATAGTACGAACTGAAACAAATATAATAATTCATAGTACAATATATTCTAATTTAATTCAAAAATCGTTGAAAAATAATTATTTATGCGTCGATTAGCGACAATGTAAACATATATTGACAATGAATATATATACTTCTAACCATGATTTCTCAAAGAGACAATGCAACAACTAAAATAGATCTCAAAAACAGCCTAAAAGGAACAACAACAACAATTTCATGACACTGATTATCATCAAAAAAACACATATATATACTTATCCCTATACATACATACATACATACATACATACATATACCAATAAAGATTACATTAATTTTTCAGAAAAAAATAAATAATAATAATAATAATAATAATAAAAATTAAAAAAATAAAAATAAAATAATTGGAATCTGTAGCCCAATAACTGAACCAGTTGCAATAAACTATAGAGAGACACCTCTCCCATTTCCCCTTTTTAAAACCCTCAATTTTTTTTCTATTAATCTCTGCACTCTTTATAATCCCCCTTTCTCCTAAAACCCTCAAATCTCCCTAATTCAATCTCAATTTCGACATTTTCAACATCAGATTTGCAATCAAAATGACAGGATCAGGTTCCCCCTGTGGTGCCTGCAAATTCCTGAGAAGAAAATGTATCAGAGGATGTGTTTTCGCCCCATATTTCTGCCATGAACAAGGAGCTTCCCATTTTGCAGCCATCCACAAAGTCTTCGGCGCCAGCAACGTCTCGAAGCTCCTCGCCCATCTTCCAGTCACCGATCGTTGCGAAGCCGCCGTCACGATCTCTTACGAAGCTCAGGCCAGGCTCCAGGACCCCATCTATGGCTGTGTCTCTCATATCTTTGCCCTCCAGCAGCAGGTCAAATTTAGTTTTTTTAATTTGATGATTTAATTTTATCTTACCTAATAGTTATCGATTTGATTGGATTGGATTTTGATTGATTTGAAATCTGTGTTTTGTTCGAATTTGATGTTCTCAGGTGGTGAATCTGCAGGCGCAATTGGCCTGTCTGAGGGAGCAGGCGATCATGAACAATGGGAATGTTAATTTGGGGGCGATGCAAAACCCTAACCCTAATCCTGATCCCAAAATTTTCTGTTCTAACAGCAATTTCCCACAGGATTTTCAGAATTGGTTTCAGAATTTTCAGAATCAGGGCTCGATGATGCCTCCCCAATCTTCGAATGGAAATAATGATTATTACAATGAGAGGTTTGAGAATTTGCCCTACTTTGGAAGCAGCTCGGAATCCATGGAAAACACCTCGATCGATTCGCAGTCAAACGACAGGGAATGGAACACGACGACGTCGTTTCAGGATGATGCTGATGATCTTCAGTCTGTGGCTTTCAGATACATTCACCATTGATGATATTAATTATGATCTATTTTGATCTTCTTGAGATGATCGATCAATGTTGATTTTAATTAATTTGGTTGGCTTCTTCTTCGTCAATTAGGGCTTTTCGATTATTAGCAGAAACTAGAAATATATATATATATATAATATTTGTATGTAGAATAATGATGATAGGTGGAGATGAATACAACTGCTCTGTCGATTTTGGATTAGAAAACCTCCCCAAGAATGAATGAATGAATTTCTTGCAAGTTCTTGGAAACCCTAGAAATGGAATGGTGTTAATTAATTTTGTCACCTTTTTGAAGTCTACACTTAAGATTAATGCTTCCATAGTCGATCCGTTGTAACATTATCGATCAAGTCGATTTCTACTACAATATTTTTTTTGGGGGATGATTTCGATTTTTCAATTCAAATGCTAGCCAAGACAATAAAAGATTTCATTATACAACATCTTTAGTTTCTCACTTAACCCTAACATTATACTTAGTTTTTATAAATCATTAGAAACTTCTTTGACAACTACGGTGTTAAAAAATCAGCACAATACTAATTTTCTCTTATAATATTGTTTAAGTTTTCTGAAAGCATCAATCAACTGTTATGATACACCAATCAAAAGCACAAATAATACCGGATATATTTGCATAGAGCACAATATATACTATATGAAGCACCAAACATATTTCAAAAAATATATATACTCTCTCCGTCCCAATAGAGTTCTTATTTTTTCATTTTTGTCCGTCTCAAAACAATTATCTTGTTTCCTTATTTAGTAATTGTAGTTCACTTTATAACAAAATTATTCATACTTTTCAAAATTACCCCTAATTATTACTCTAACTTACTTTTTTAAAATTATTTAAAAAATAATGTATTTTAGTCTTTTACCTTCACTTTATACCCACTCCTAATAAGACATCTTTTCTGGGACGGAAGAAGTAAATAGATAGCACATAACCGATATTTCAAAATAATGATATTATATGGATATTCACTGAGTATGTTTTTGTAGAAAATTAGAACAGTGCTGATATTTAACCGAAACATAACAACCACACATCCAAAAAAAAATAATGATATAATTTGAAAACATTAATTAGTTTACTTGACTATTTCTGTTTTCAAATTTTGGTTTAGTTAATAATGAATTTCATCAAGATTGTATAGTAAAATAAAAAACTAAAAATTTTTAAAGTAGGCAGAGTGTATAGTATAGGTTTTTTTACATTCGAATTTTGGAAACTTCAAGAGATATTCTAACAATACAATTATTAGTCTTCGACCTCGACTAAAGTTCTAATCACACACACATGTAATTAATAGAGAAAATATATATGTACACATTTATATAAGATGAAGAACTTCAAGAACCAAACAAATTAATATTTATATATATATATATATAGTAAAAGCAAGAAGAAGCAGGAAACATGCATGAAGTGGAGGTGGAAAACAAAATCCTCAGGTCATCAGCAACCTGTCTCAACAAAATATTCAATTAGTACTCAGACATGATCACAAGTAATTACTATATAATTCTGGGGTTTGGCAAAATTTAAATTTAAATTTATATATATATATATATAATCTTAATTAATTATTTGATCCCTGAAAAGATAACCTAATTAAATTATCCAGTGTTGGTGTGTGTGCACACAATCCAGGGAACATTTGGTCTGAACATATGCCTACACACACTTCTTCTTCTTCTTGATCTTGTTCTTATTCTTATTCTTAATTCTTAATTCTTTACACATTAACTAATTAATTTATTGGGGTTTCTTCTCTATATGTTGTTGTGGCTCTTTGGGACACCAAATATTAGGTAAACCTACTTGATTCAAGGCCCATAAACCATGGTTAGTATAACCAACACACACCATACATACACATGTATATATATTTACATATTTATATAAATCGATTCGATTTGGTTCCATCTCTTATGTGTTGGATACAATGAGGCTTCCATTTATTTGGCTTTGTAGAGATTAAAAAGATCGACATCGAATAGCCCACTATTTAATTTGGATAATGTGTTAAGTTTTGTTCTTTTTTGAATTTTTTTATTTTTTATTTTTTATAAAATTATATTATTTCATCTTATAAAAAAATATTCGGAATCACTGTGTAAATATATAATACAAATATAAAAGAAAAAATGTGAACGTAAACCAAACACACCCTTAAAAGGTATGCTTAGATACCCATATTTTGAATATAACATTTTAAATAAAAATTAAATAATGATAGTATTTTTTAAAAAAAGTTTGAAGACATTTGTAAAATAACGGCATGATTCATTTCTTTTTAATGAAAATAAATAAAGTAACTTGTTTGGTTTGAACTCCAAACTAATAATTTTACTATTTCGGTCTTCATAGTGTTGAATAAAAATATATTATTATTTCTTCTCACAAAATATTATAGCGAAATAACATTTATATTAAAATTTAAATTGAAACACAAACCAAACAAACTCATAACAATGATTTAAATGGTTTTTACTTATGATTAATTCTAGATTGTTTTCTTGAATGATTTCACATATTTTTCACATAGCCTAGCTAGAAATTATTGTTTCGATCTTTTCATATATATATATATATTACCATTCTCCTACTCGCCATATATAATATTGAATTCGATAAAGAGATCAATGGCTTCAACCCTTTTCAACTTTCCACATGGTTTCCAAAGACAGAGTATGGTTCAAATAAAATGTCTTAAACTTTCTACAAAAGTTAATCAAAGCCACAAGAAGACTTTAAAATGACATATATATATATATATATATATCTACACATACATATATCGATCGCGCCGCGCATTTTCTTACTAGCTATAAAATTAAACTAAATGCCCCTCATATGTTGTAATAATACACATGAATCATTCGAGGCTACTTGCTACAATCCCATTGCCTGTCTGATCTTATTACATCTATATATATATAATGCCAAAATTAAAGTCTTTTTTTTTAAAAAAATAAAAATAAAAATAAAATTTTATATATATATATATATATATATATAAAAGAAAAGGATGAGTTGTTGATTGCAAGTTAATTTAAGAGGTAGGTAGGCCTGAGTTTGGAGCCACATTAGATGTCTTCATTCGTTTTGTTAGGATAATTTATTGATGATCATGACTCAGGTCTTGTCCCTTTTCTTTTCTTAAGGAAAAATAATAATAATAATAATAATAATAGTGATTTAGATATTTTTTGAGTCCAAAATTAATTTATTTGTTCTTTTAATAATTGTGGTCACGAAATAATAAAAATGACAATATTACAACAATACCATCAATATAATTTAATTACATTACAAAATATCTAGAGGAAAAATTGTACACTCATTCTTCTATCATACTACATGCATATAGAATAGTATATTACAAATTTTTTGTAAAAAGTAAATAAATATATTTGTACAGAATGAAGAGAGTATATATATATATATATATTTTTTTTTTGGTAAACTGTTTTTTCAGTTCCGTAACTGGACTCCTTTATCATTTTAGTCCCGTAAGTGGAGCTTGTCGCAAACTAGTCCCATAAGTGAAAAATTTTCGCTGTTTTAGTCCTCCGGCGCCGGAGACGCCCGCGTGGCTCGCCGGAGGTGACGTGTCCGCCAGGTGTCCCGCCAGGTCAGCGACACCTGGCGGACACGTCACCTCCGGCGAGCCACGCGGGCGCCTCCGGCGCCGGAGAGCGACACCTGGCGGACACGTGGATTTATTTATTTATTTTTAATTAGACCAAATAAAAAAATGCAAATAAAATTAAAAAAAAATGAAAAATAAGTTTTAAAAAAATTTAAAAAAATGAAAAGAAAAAAATAAAAAATCCACGTGTCTGCCAGGTGTTGCTGACCTGGCGGACACGTCACCTCCGGCGAGCCACGCGGGCGTCTCCGGCGCCGGAGGACTAAAACAACGAAAATTTTTCACTTATGGGACTAGTTTGCGACAGGCTCCACTTACGAGACTAAAATGATAAAGGGTTACGGGACTAAAAAAATAGTTTAACCTTTTTTTTTTTTTTTTTTTTTTTTTTTTTTTTTTTTAGATGAAATAGTCAAATTTGTATAAATATTTTAACATGATATTTTATATATAAGATGTAATAATATATTTTTATTAAACATTACGTAGATTGAATAATAAAAATTTGATTTTAGCTATGTGATTCAGAAATTCATGAGTGTTGAGTATAATAATAATAACAATAATAATAATAAAGTAAATAAAATATTTTTAAAAAATGCATCAGCCAAAATTAAAACCCAGGCAAGATATTATTCTACCACTAACTTTATTATAATTGCATATAAATCACCTTTGTGAGTTTTCAACTTGAATTTTACTATTCATCATTTTTATTCTTAAAAAAAAAAAATTAAATTAAATTAAATCAAATATATATTTAATTTTTATTATATATTAAAATTTAATTTTACATTCAAAATATCACATCTACTTATATTAATTATATTAAGTAATAAATTTTAATTAAAAATTTGACTATTCAAAATTCAAAACTCAACTTTCAAACCATCAAACAAACACACTAATAGTAGAGACTTAACTATCGATCGACAGAACAATTTTGCCGATGTAACATGAAGCAGTCGAAGATCGTCAGTCAGATCGAGTCGTGGATTGGATCGATGCTTTTGGCGTAGGTTGCACATTTTATAATCCAATGTTACTACATACTTACCAAATCCCTTCTTTGATTTTGTCCTCTTCATGATGAACATTGTGAAAATTTAAAATTGATGATCTTATATATTTTTTTGGAATACACCCTTTTCTTTTATTTTGCCTTTTTTAATATATTCACATTGATTAATCAACAAATTTGAATGATATGATTACTATATATCCCACAAGAAATTCAAATTTTAAATAATACTCTTCCCTCACATTTAAGATGACAATTATTTAAAACTTGAATTTCTTGAGATGTATATATATATATATATATACACACATATATGTGTGTGTTGGAATAATTTGAAATAATTGTCTATATATTGCTTAGCAATAAATATGCCCTTATTTTGTAAGTGTGAATCTTACAATAATATTAATAAAATATACAATAATTTCACATAAAAGTAGAAAAATGGTCATTTCTTATTTTAATTTGAACTTTTACAACATAATGATATATATTTAAGAATTTATAGTCACATGCTATTTACCATATACTACCTTCATCAATTATTTTTTATTTACATTTGACACAATTTTTTTAGGATGTATAATTTACCTTCTCACCCCCAACTTTTTGTGGGGTGTGTTTTTATTAATTATTTTTAAAAAGAAAAAAAAAATCATATAAATGAAAAATATTTTACAAAAAATTTAGGATGTCCCAAATTCAAAATAAATAATAGCAAAAAATTCAAGAACAAAATGAAAAAATATTATTCTTAATCAACATTCAAATTATAAATAGAGATTATATAAAAGAATACTAAAGAACCTAAACCCTAATTCAAATGTTAACAAAATTAGGATTTGAAATATTGTAGGATGTAACAATGCTATATATATATATATATATATATATAAATTCATGTATTATTATTAATAACCCTTTTTGCATTTCTAGCTTCAAAAATTAAGAAGGCTAACAATTTATTACAACTTGTTATTGACCATCTACGGGTTCGATTCGATCGATTTTTATTTTCCGGCGACATCATAGACTAATGCACTACAAGAAAATATCGCGAAAAAATATACATTTATACATTTTTTTTTAATCATATAAAAATTTAATCATAGCCAAGTCGAAGCTCCAAATCCAACTCCTTATGATTCATTTCTTGAATTCTATTATTCCTCTCCAAATCCTCCACAAACCTCAAGCTCAGGGCCGACCAATCCTCCGCCGGCGACTGATCCGACCGCCGGCGATGATTGTAATCAACGGCCATGATCTGCTGCGGCTGGTAACTGTAATTATCACATAAGGATAATCCAATACCCGAAGAATAGGCGAAGACCTGATTTTGATCCGGAGATTCAAACTGATAATCGGCGCCGATCGGCGGCGCCGCCGGCGCCGCCGTGATCTGGTGGTGCAGCCTGATGTGCTTGCTGGAATTAGGTTTATTCCTGGCTCGATCTTTCCGGTGGATATTCATGTGTCCGCCGAGGGCCTGCGCTGTGTTGAATCCTCTCTTGCAGAAGACGCAGTCGTAGGAACGGCCGGCGGCGGCGCCGGCGTTGGCGTCGGTTAAATCGTCGGTGGAATTTATGGATTCTTCGGTACAGTTGGAATCCATGGCGCAGTGTGTATGTGGGTTGATATTAGTCAGCCCTATTGGCTGTATGCATATATATGTATATATATGTATGTATATGTTTTGAATTTTTGATGGAAAATTGGGGAGAGAAATCAGTGTTTGATTGTTGTCAATTGATTGACAGAAGTGAGAAGGGATTGAGGAGAAAGAAAGATATATATATATATGTATATATTGTATGTAATGAAAGGGAGAGGTTATATTAAATCTATGGCTATATTAATTAGAGCTGTCGAGACGGATTAGCGGAGCGAATTAATCGATAATTTGATGGATTTTGGCGATACGGGTCATATTGTAATACGGACGGGTTAAAAATTATTTTGATATTGTCCCACGTAGAAAAAGATATTAAAACTCTTTATAATTTATAAAGGTAAAGGGTTTTCCACTTATTATAAATTAATTTTAAATTAGAATTTCAAATATCATTTTTAAGTCACACGCTCGATGAATCATGTGTGACAGATAAAATTTGGAGGTATTAAGGTTTAAACTACGTTTCAATAAGAATCAAGGCAAAAAAAAAAAAAAAAAAAAAAAAAAAAAGAAAAAGAAGTAAATTGCTTGTAAGATGTATAATTAAATATAATTAGCCCAATAAAACATGCATGATAAAAATAGTATTGAGCCTAAGTATGTAGGACTTTTGTAACCTTCGATATTATTTATTAATACTTTTTTAAGAAAAATATTATATTAAATATTTAGTTTTTTTTTTTTTTTTTTATACAACAATACATCAAATACTCAATTTTTTATAATTTAATTTAAAATATTTCAAAACTTGAAAAATCCAAAAGCTCCTTATGTAAATTTGTATTTTTCTTGAAATTTGAATTATGTGGATGGACTAGTTCAATATAGCTTGTGATCAATGGCCGGCTGCCTCACTAATTCTCGCGAAAGACGGAGTTTTTTATTAGAAGCGCGGTATTCAGTTTAACGTAGGTTATTAAGTTAATATAATATTTTATTATTTTTTATATATGTATATTGTTGATATTTTAAATATTTTTAGAATTATATCTCAATAAAATATATGCAATATGAATATCATTTTGTAGACAATAAAATTTTATATAATACAAATGAATAAAAAATGATAAGTTTTAAAGGTAGATAAAAATATTTGTTAATTGAGGAAAAAGATAGAAATAAAGGGGTTCTGAGTGAGTCCTACGCATAAGAGGTTAGAAGTTTAATTAAATTGATTTATATTTGTTAAGTATGTTTAAGATTGATAAATTTACCAAAAATACATTTTGGTCATCTTTGGTAGGACGTACCAAAAAAGAAATGGAGTCATCTGTAGCTGAACGGAAAGAATATTATATATATATAATCATCTCAATAAAAATTGGGATTGAAAATTTTCATTTAATTTTAAATTTATTATTTCATTTTTTACCATGTAAAGTCTATTTAACAATGTTTGTTCACTTTGTATTTTTAGGTGCACGTAATTTTAAGTTAGGTATGAGAAAATATATTAGTAATAAATATTCTCTTCGTCTGCTTCTAAGGTCAGATTTACATTTTTAGTTATTGTACTAACATTAAAAATATCCTTATATTTATATAATGTTTTGTACAAATGTCCTTCTATTAGTATTATAAGACACTAATGGAAGTATTTTTGTATATATATATTTTTAATTTGTACTATCGACACGCAAAAAATAAATGAAACCCTTAGAACTGAACGAATATAGTAAAATTTTTATTGAGTTAAAACTTTTTGTCCACAGATAAAATATATATTATATTTATATGTGTATATTATATTTTTTTTATAATATTTACTAGGAATGTGTCAACTAAAATACTAAACAAACAAACATGTAATGTTTATATATATATATATATTCATATTCAAAATTTTCTGGCGATTTCTTTGCACTACAAGAAATTATCAATTTTGTAACAAGATTTTTTCGTTCCTAAATTCACTTTTTCTGTTACTAATGATATTAGAGACGGAATTAGAGATGAAATTACGTTAGCTACGTGAACTTTAGGAACAGAATTCCGTTACAAATATACTATTTTTGGTGTAGTGTTGGTTTTCTATATAATTTTGATATTGAGTTTTTTTCATTATTATTTAAATCTTAATTTAAATAATGGTTTTTTTATCGGTATTTTTCAATAGAACAATTTTTCATAAATATTATTCAAAAATATAAATATACATACATTAATATAATATATATATATATTATTCACTTATAGAAAGTCAATCATTTTAACACAAAATATTATAATTTATATTACCGACACAATTTTTTATACCATACACAAAAAATGAATCCATCTAAACACTGAGTAAACAGACTGAATTTTTTTATATGGTTTTTTTTAAAAAAAGTATATATTGTATCTTTAATTTATTTTAAATGGTACACGCTAAATAATTAAAAAACAAATGAAATTCAAATTATATATTAGAAAAAAAAAAAAAAAAAAGGACCACCCTCAAATTTTAATAAAAATTTACGTTTTTCTTTTTTCCTTTTTCCTCGGTGTCTGCATGTAATGAAAATTATATTTATATCTAAATTTTATATATAGCATACAGTTAAAAATATGAAAAGTGCATTTGTAGTTTTCAATTGTCTCTTCTATATAATTAATAATATATAATTAATTTTGCATCTAAGGTCGTCACAATCACCATCAATTAGCACATATCGATGCTGTCTTAATCATATATTTATTTAATATTAAGCCTTATATATATATATATATATAAAATCCACATCTTAATTAATTTGGGAATGTATAATTTATAAATGAAATTATATCATTTTATACATTGAAATCAAAAGATGGTAACGTACGTATGAGCTCAGATGCATCAAAATCAACTCACTAATTTATGATTAATTATAAATATATATATATATTCTTCCTCTTTCTTTTTTTTTTTTTTTTTTTTTAATCCGAATCCACAACTGTTATTTTTCGAATATTTAATAAATAACTACCCAAAAGTAAAACTATATTAGAAAAACTCCACTAATAAAACTTTTAATATCAAACGTAATAATCTACAAACTACGATAAGATTATGAGGGTTTTTATTTTAAGAACAATGAAGATTATAAGTGATTCAATACATTATGTTTTCAATCAAAAATATTTTCATATAATATTTTAAATAAAAATTAATATTCAATATAATTTTGTGATACACAATACAACTAGAGTTCGATTCGAACATACAATTTGTATAGATTCAAACTCGGCTCATTAGGATTCAATCTAAATGTTAGCTCGAGCATAGGTCGTTAGATTCACCTTACAAGATTCAAACTCGAACTCAAGTTTGAGTTTCACTCAACTTTTATATACTATATTATACATATTTTTTAATACTCCATCTGTTCCGAAACTATAGTCTTTGTTGTGTTGGACACGGGTAAGAAATATTGATATTATATTGAATAATGGATAAAAAGTACAGGTAAAAGACATTTTTGCCCTTGTGAGTGTATTAGTGTAGAAAGTAGTGGCAATTGTGTAATAATAATGAAATAGTAAGGGTAATTTTATAGTGATATGATTATTTATGGAAATAAGACTATTGTTCTGAGACGGACAAAAATAGTAAACAAGACTATTGTATTGGGACGGATGGAATATATAATTTAATATAGTATTTAATGTATTAACAATTTATTATAACAAAATTATTCAAATTGTATTAATAAATTACAAGTTTTAATATATAAAATTATATACTTCTTTCGGTTCATAAGAAGCGTATCACTTTTTATTAAGGTCCGTCTCAATATAAAGGTGTTGTTTCTTAATTTATTAATTGTACTAAATATTCTTACAATTTACAATATATTATACAAATATTATTATTTTTATATTACACAATACTAATACTAATAGAAGTATAATATTAAAAAAAATTACGTCAAAAAAGCAAATAATACTCTTTTACAAGACTGATGAAATATAATATACTGATATATAACATTATACTAATATTTATTAAAAATATCGAGTTCAATTGAACTATTCGCAATCTGAGCATGAGCTCAAAGATAAACGAATTGAATCGGGATATTACCGAAGCAGGTCCAACTTGGCTCACGAACTGTCCGATCGTTTAGAACTCTAAATATGTCTTAGACAATAATTTGATTTGATTAAATACATATTTAACTTGAAAATTTAATCAAGTGATACTTTTTTAAATATCATACTATTTTTTTATATTTGATTATTTATTTTCACTGTTTTTAATAAAAAAAATATATTTGATAAAATACTATAAAATTAAAATAATTTTAAATTCGAATTCAAATTTTTGGATAAATAAATAAGTACTCCAGTGTTTAATTCTTGTGGACGACCGAGTCAACTCTAATAATATATACTACTCCCTCGTCCCGTCGAGATGACCTATTTGCTTAAGAACACGATATTTTATGTAGCGTAGATTAGTAAGTTATTAATAAGTTATGATATTATTTTATTATTTTTATATGAGTAGTGTTGTTGGCATTTTAAATATTTTTAGCATTATATATCAATAAAATATATACAATATGGATATTATTTTGCAGAGAATAAAATTTTATATAATACAAATAATTAAAAAATTAATTAATTTATTTATAATTAACTTAAAACTAATTTTATTAAAAATAAGAAGTTTTAAATACAGATAAATATATTTATTTATTGAGAAGAGAGATAGAAATAAAGAAGTTTCGAGTGGATCCTAAATTGATTAGAAATTTAATTAAATTGATTTATATTTGTTAAATATGTTTAAGATGAATAAATTTACTAAAAATAGAAAAGAATTATTTTTAATGAAACGGAAAAAAAAAAAAAAAAGAAAAATGAGTCATTTATCGCGGGATGGAGGGAGTATTTGACAATTAAATTAATTTTAAATAATTATATATACACAAATACGCACCAATGTGTTTGTGAAAAAAGTCAAACATGAA